AAAGGATTATCGGTATTACTCTTCATGTTTAGAAGCATTACTGCAGAACTCTCCGAATGCCAAAGTTTTTTGTTTAGTGCACAAAATGGATCTTATTGCGGAAGAACATCGTGACCAAGTAATTTCCTTTTATTCAGTTCTGATTGTTAGTTTTGACATTACGAGATGGTCTGTTTGAAATGTCAGATTAATAATTTGTAGGTTTTTGCTGAGAAAGAGAAAGATATTCTTCGACGATCAGCACTGGAGTATGAAAAATGTGGGAGGAAAAGTGCAGTCTGTCAGTGTTTTAAGTCATCTATCTGGGATGAAACGTTGTACAAGGTATGAAAAGGGCGAGTCAACATTTCTGCTCTTCCAAATTCCTTTTTAAACTTTTCAGATATATACTGATGTTTTGTCAAAGTAACTTTCCAGCTTTTATCAGTTACACTACTTTTCAGGCTTGGTCCACCATAGTATATTCTTTAATCCCTAATGTTATCGCAATGGAGGAAAAATTGAAACAGTTCGCTACAGCTGTTGACGCTGATGAAGTATGCTAGAGAATATTTTTTTCCTTTTTCCCTGACCCTCAAATGCTCAAACCTTATCTTTTTTCATTATTTAATCGCTCAAGTCGAAATCCTGACCCTTTCTTGGTTTCTTCTGTCAAGGAAAAATTTAGTAGCAGGGTAAGGTACTTCTCTTTTAGGTTTTATTGTTTGAAAAGGCAACTTTTCTGGTTATTGCTCGTGCTCAAGTTGCGCAGCACACCGACATTCACAGATTTGAGAAAGTTTCTAATATTATGAAACAGTTCAAACTCTCCTGCAAGTAAGAATTTTTAGTACCTAGAATAAGCAGTTGTTCCGACCTCTTGCAAATATAACTTTTATTGTTATTGTTCTCTAACTTTTTTAAGTGAGTTTTTTGTTCCTTATATTGATGGTCTTTTTGCTAAAGAATATTTTTCCAGCAAACTTGGTTCACATTTCGAGTATATGCACGTTCGGAACAGCAAGTTTACTGCTCTCATTGACAGTTTTACTGAAAATACATATATTATGGTCGTTCACAAAGGATCTGCGGCCTGTAAGCTTTTTTTTTTTTTTTTTTTTTTTTTTTTTTTTTT